AAAAAAAAAAAAAGAAGAAAGAAAGAAAGAAAGAGAAAGAAAGGAAGAACACACATATTTATTATCCCACATATATGTAACTTAGAAATCCAGGTGTACTCAATTGGTTTCTCTGCTTCAGGTTTCACAAGCCCCAAATTAAAGATGACAGCAGGGCTGTGCACCTTTCTGGAGGTTCTAGGAAGAATCCATTTCCAGACTCATTCACGTTGCTGGAAGAATTCATTTCCAAGTGGTTGTAGCACTGAGGTCCTGTTTCCTTGATGGCAGCTAGCCAGACAGAGGCCACTCATATTTCTTGCCATGCAATCTTCTCCATCTCCAAGCAAGCAACGATGTGTCAATTCCCTCTCATGTGTCAAATCTTTCTGCCTTCTCCTTCCATCACATCTCTTCTCCTGCCAGCCAAAGTTCTTCACTTTTACTAAGGTGCATATGATTAGGCTGCGTCTGCCTGCATGATCCAGGTTAATCTGCTCATGTTAAGATCAGTTGCCTTAAATATGCCTGCAAAGGCCCTTTTGCCATAAGTGACCCATTTATAAATTCTGGTTAACAGAACAGGGACGTCTTTGGTGGACACCTTTGTTACCAAAACTCTAAAGCTTTCTTGATCTCCCCACTTTCTGAGGTTTCCTTCATCTCCTACATTTTTCCATCATGACACGTGTGGCACAATGCTAGTGGCATCTCCACATCTTTTCTTCTCTTTTTCCTGGGCACATAGTTCCCTTGTCAGAGACCACTTTTCCCAGTTTCCCTCACAGCCAGGTGTGGTCATGTGACTAAATTCTGTCCAGTTGAGTGTGAGCAGAAACTTCTGCCTCACTTGCTTAAAAAGAAATTGCTTATGTAAATAAAGGACTTCCTCTCTTCTCCTTTTCCTGGGAGCCTGGATGCAAATGTCAGTTACCTAGCTTCAACCATGCTGATAAGAGTAGTGTCTTGGGAGATGGTAGAATAACAATATAGAAGAAATGTGTTTCTCTAAATGATGTCCCTCATGAACAGAGCTATCCTACAAAGCTGAACTTCTCCCTGTAAGATTTTTAGATGAGAATGAAGTAAGTGTAATAGAAGCGACACTATTGTAAGGTGTTTTTGGTAGAGCAGTATCATCCTTGCAAAACTAAAAAAACACATACTACCATCTGGAATTACATATTTATGTATTTGTTTAATTGAAATTATTGCCTCAACTACAGTAGAAACTCCTTAAGAACAGGGAATATATCTGACTTATTTACTGCTGTATCTTCAGCATCTAGCACAATGCCAGTCACACAATAGATGCTCAGTAAGTATTTGTTGAATGAATGAAAGTACTATGTTGACCCAGTGATTCACTTTTAGATTCTCCAATGTTGGTAGCCGCCAGAAAATGAATGAAATTTCTACTGTGGATGAACACCACTCAATCATAGGTAAGTGTCAGAATCTGCTTTTAACCACTGTTTTCTCATTGCCTGTCCCCAATCTACCTGCCTCTGTAGCTACTTCTTCATTTGGACTAGTTCATCCTCAAAGTCCGTTGGTTAGAAGACTACATACTCTGTCTAAAACCAATTTCCAACCTAGTTATGAGACAGTTTCTTTATTAACACTAATTTTGAAAAACACTTATACATCTTTCCTTGTTCATATGATATGCTTAATCAACTCTTGCTCTTATTCTCTCTCTCTCTCTCTCTTCACCCCTTATAAACATTAAGACAACAGGTTCCTTGGTTTTCCATTTCAATTCCACTATTTCTTATTTTTCCTTTTCTAAAACTAAGAATGCCAGTATGTACTTTGAATATCTTTCTATTGGACTCATTCTTCTCTTTGCACAAGATATTATTCGTTTTTATTTTTTTTAACTTTTAAAATTTTAAATTTTTTGTGGGTGCGGATATTCTTCCTGATGTGAAGAATTCTGATATTGAGTCACAGGCATGATTTTGTCTTATTTTCCCCTAATATAGCTGATCTAATAGTTTATTTAAATTACTAGATGTTCAAAAAATTGCTGTGATTTTATCATATATATTTTTATTCTAAAAGGAGTAACATTCAAAAATATTTACAAACTTTTTTTTTTCAAATATAGTGCCCTGGAAACCAGTACAGTCCCCACAAAGTCCTGGAAGATCTGTTCATTTAATAGAAAAAAATAAAAAAGAAAGAAAGAAGAAAGGACAAAAGAAAGAAAACTTGAATAACACATCTCATAGTGCTTTAAATTTCAAACCTTCTACTTCAGCTACCATAGCAAATGGAAACTACTGTTAGACCAGATTCATAGTTGTTTATTTATTTCAACTAGTTTAGGACAATAATCTAAATTTATCAGGTGCTAGGATAGGTTTAATTCCTTCATTCCTTCATTAATTCTCCAACTATTTACTGATTGATTTTTCTATGCACAATACCATGCAAGATGTTGTGGTGAATTCAAGGATATTTAATGCAAGTTTAATTTCTGTTAGTGTTCTAAAATATCACTAAATACCCTTAAGGAAACAAGAGACATGTGAATTTAATTAAAGTTTGTTAGGCTTAGGGTGATTTATGTTTCAGAAGACCTTGTTCTCTGAAGACCAGATTAACTGATACTCTTATGAAACATGAGTTGTTGAAACACATACACACACACACACACACACAAACACACAAAACCTAAACAAGTGTCAGACAAGTGCAAAATGGTGCTTGTATAATTCACTGTGTCCTCATTACAAAAAACTCACTAGTTTGAATTGGAAGGATATGCTTTGGCCACTCATCAAATGTTTGATTTATTTTTGTTGAATGTCACTTTAATTTCCAAACAGTGTACTATATTCATTTATCCATTCATCAAACAAATTTTTATTGAGTACTTTCCATGTGCCAGGCATTGTCCTTGGTGTTGAAGATACAGCAGTGAACACAAGCAAAAATAATTCCTGTTATCCTGGAGTTTACCTTCTAGCAGAGGGAGAGAAAAAAAAAACAAATCAAATAAATAAATCAACAAGAAAAATTTCAGATAGGGATGTGCCATGCAGTTATAAGCAAAATTGTCATGTTCCTTCACAGGGTAGGGGAGGAAATAGATAATATACAGACATCACAAATTAACTATTTTTGTCCCACCACCATAGAGAAAGGGAGAGTAGAACTAACATCTTTACCATCAACAGACTCCATCCCCAATACCCAATCCCTTCATTTGAGGAACGTTTTTATGGATTTGAAGATTCATAGAAATGTAGGCTATTTTCCCCAGATTCCACTAACCCGATTGTACCGAGATTGTATCATCAGTATCCAAAGCTTGCTGTCTCTGCCAGAAACCACCTATTTCTTTTCTATATGATCCATAAAGGAAATTTACAGCAGGTGTAGCCAATATAGCCAATACAAAATTTGAGATACCTTGAATTTTTCAGAGAATTCCAATGGGTGCTGACAGTTGTTGAAAAATTCCTCCTGTCTGTCAGTGACCATTTCAGTTAGCAGAGCTTAGAATCCACAGATGCAGGCCCCACAGGGTCTCCAAAACTGAAACTTTGGTTTCAGTTGGTGTTTTAATCACCATCTTCACTACCGCCCTCTAGATATTGGTGGGGCTGAAAATCTACTATGCTTGCTCTTGGTGATGCTGGAGATCCATATCACTGATGCTGGAGATCCATATCACTGCTCTTGCAGTTCGAGTCTAGCCTGGGCAATGTAGTGAGATTCCCACCTCTACAAAAAAAAATTAAAATTAAACAATTACCTGGGTGTGGTGGCATGTGCTTGCAGTCATAGCTACTCAGGAGGCTGAAATGAGAGGATTGTTTGAGCCCAGTAATTCAAGGATACAGTGAGCTATGATCATGCCACTGCACTCCAACTTTGGCAACAGAGTAAGATTGTCTTTAAGCAAGGAGAAACAGCCGAGGCATCTCTCATCTCATGACTATTTGGAAAAAGTCATTGGCTGCCCTATGATTGTTCAGAGACCTCTTATAAACATTGTCCAACAACCAAAATAAGGTCTTACCTAACCTGAAGATTCTCTGATGACTGAACTCCTCAATTAATATGTTAAAAGAGCAGTTTGGGGCATTGGTTATGATTCTATGTTCAGCAAGTATAAGATAAATTTAAGAACACTCACTTAAGTTAAAATAGTGAGTCAGCCTCTAGGCTGTGTTCTTATAAGACAAAGGAAGCTGGGGTATAGAGAAAAATCCATTAAATATAGAATGCTGTTTGTGAACATGTTCAGTTTCAACCGGCATCTTCTGATTACAAAGCCCCATGTGACATTTCCTTCACAGCCTAAACAAGCACATGGAGGATGGTGTTTCAGTAAATGTTAGTGTCCCAGGGCCTCTGGAATTGTTGGCAACACAGCAACAGGATGTGGGAGAGCCAGAGGATTATGTAGGGAGGATACCAGGAAAGCAACGAGAGGGTTAGCAACTCTCCCAGATGTTGTTGCATAGGAAGTCCCATGACCAATCCCACCAGGCCTTTTTTTTGACAAGTAAACCTTTAATCTTCCTATAGCTCCAAAGCATTTTGTGGTCAGGAGGCACCAAATCCCTCCCCTCCCCCAAAGAGAAGTAATGACTGTATTCCAAGGCAGGGGAGGCAAGGACATTTTTCTTCCATTACTCAGGAAGTGGGGTGAAGGCAGGAGTTTAATAAAGAAACAACCTTCCCAACAGGGAATGGAGCAGAATTTGTCCTGGATTCCTGCTGGTTCCTCATCCTGCCATCCTTGTCAGTGTCCAGCCCTGACTACATACATCAAGGGTGGGGAACTTTTTCTTGTGGCTATTGACCCAAAAGGAAAAAAATCCAACATCACCTAAGTAAAAAAAGATCTCTTTCTCTCTCAAGAGGAACAAATACAGGATTTTTCTAGTCCTCTGGTTTTTAAATTAAAAGGTTATATTTCACTTGCATATTGTCCTTTTAAAAACTTTGTTCTACACTGTAACCAGTTAATGGAGAGTGGACAAAGAAAGATGGAGGAAACAGAGAAGTTGATATTAGAATATAGATTGGCTGAGAAGGAAAAAAGAGGCAGATATTCTCATGGTAATAAAGGCATGAGGAAAAAAGACACAGCTGGAGACTGCCGGGGAAAACCTTTAAGGGACTCCTCTGAATGGTTTGGTGCGGTCTCCGGCCTTTGAAAAGTTGATGAGCGTTTTTTAGCGGTTTCAATAAATCTGGCAAATGTAAACTCTCTTTTTTGCATTATAAGGTCACGTTTCTGCCTTCATTTTCAAATTTTAAAATAGGTTTTGGAAAGAATCTTTTATTTTCTCAAGGATCAGAAAAGTTTTACATGTGTGAAAAAGAATAAGTTGCCTGTTTCCTTTGGAATCTTAGAAGTGGTTTATATTTACCAACTAGGTTTCCAAAATCTTGTTATTGTGAAAATAAATTGCTTAGTTACCTTATTAACAATTTTTTTCTGTTTTTATTTACTTATTGCTTTTTGGGTCTTGCCTTCTCTCTAGTGGGATTCTCATGAAGAAATAGTGAGACACCTAGATGAACTAAAACTTGATGTAAGACCGAGTAAGCATTTTTCATGAATTGAAAATCTTCTGATAAGACCCAGCTGGATTAAGCGACATTTATGGAACATCAACAGTCTAGAGAGGGGTTAATGTCTTCTTGGCACTACATCTATCATTAAGGTCAATGCCCCATTAGTGACACCTGTCAGTGTAGTATATATCTCTATATTTTGGCTCTCCACAGGATTACAGAATTGATCCCAATTGGGAGGCTGAGGTGGGCAGATTACCTGAAGTCAGGAGTTCGAGGCCAGCCTGGTCAACATGGTGAAACCTCATCTCTATTAAAAATCCGTAAAATTAGTGGGAGTGGTGGCGGGCACCTGTAGTCCCAGCTACTCGGAAGGCTGAGTCAGGAGAATCACTTGAACCCAGGAGGCGGAGGCTGCAGTGAGCCGAGATCATGCCATTGCACTCCAGCCTGGGAGGCAGAGTGAAACTCCATTCCCCCCACAAAAAATACAAAATAATAGGTAAAACTGGATGTCTTTTCTCAATTCTCAGATGTTGAATAAATTCTACCCTGTATTCCCTTCTCTGGCTTAGCAACAGCCTCCTTAAACTTACCTTGATCTTAAACTCAGTATAACTTCAGAGTGCTGCCACTGCTAATCTAATCTTTAGTGTTCCTACTTACACAGAGAAACCAACTTCATTGTTTTTTCCTGCTTATGGAGAATCAAAGCCTTGTCAATATCTACTTCATCACACTTAGGATGTCATCCCTTCAATCGCTAGCTAACTCTATTCTTTCTGTTGGTCTACGTTGTACCCATTTAGAGCCCTTTGATTTCATGCAGCCATCATATTTCCTCTTAACTCCTGTCTCCAAAGACTCACAGGAATTTTTAGAGAAAGGCCTAGCTTACTGCTCTGTACTACATGAAAAATTTAAAAGTTATCTCTGTTACCAAAAAACATGAAGATCTTTGAAAAGCTTACCCTTTTTATTTTGTTTATAAAGTTTTTAAATTAGTCACACACACCAAAATACTTTAAAAACATCGCTTCTGCTTAATATCTTCACAAAGGACATATTCGGCTTATTAGGACTTTCCCCACTGGTTGGATGGGGTTAATTTAAAACATGGATTTAATGCCTATCATGTAATTTTTGCTAATCCATTCCTCCCTTCAACCCTTTATCTTTATTTTGCTGCTTCTTAACAACACACATTGTGCAACTTCGATGACCTCTCCAAGGAGTCAGAATAAGCATTAACAATAATCTATCTTTTGATCCTCTACAGTGATGAATATGTGCAGACAGGAATGTTTTCCCAGTATTAATATCAGTTGCTACTCAGAAGAGAGTCAATATTTGCAGAGATCATGTATTTTATTTTACCTAAAACTTAATGGGGGCATCATAAGTGCCTATGCTTCAAAGCATTTTCCAAAGTAGTGGTACCATTTTAAATCCCAACTGACAGTACATAAGAATTTTGGTTCTCCCACATTCTCACCAACACTTGATATGGTCAGCCTTTTAGTTTGAACCATCCTAGTAGGTTTGAATTGGTATCTTGTTGCATTGTCCTAACGACCAATGAAATTGGTCATCTTTTCATGTGCTTATTTTCCATGTATATGTCTTTTTTGGTGACATAGCTTGTTCAAAAACTTTCACCATTTTTATTGGTTTTTTTTTTTATTAGTTTTGTGAGTTCTTTATGTATTCTGGATATAAGTCTTTTGTTTAGATGCAAGCGTTTTATATGGCTTGCAAATGTTTTGACCCTAGCCTACTGCTTGTCTTTTCATTCTCTTCACAGTGTTTTTCAAAAGCAGGTTTTATGTTTGACGAAGTTCAATTTGTCAATATTTTATGAATTGTGCTTTTGGCATTGTAGCAAATAAATCTCTTATTCCTTAAAGTTTATTTTTTACCTTTTTATTTGGAAACCATTTAAAATGTGCAGAAATGTTGCAAAAATAAGAATAGTGTAAGGTACACCTGTATAACCTTTACCGAGCCACTTCTTGCTACCATTTAACTAATTTGCTTCATCAGTTACTTCTCTCCCATTCATCTCTCTTTCATCTCCTCTTTTTCTGAACTACTTGACAATAAATTTTTTCTGGATTATTTTATTTATTTTTAGAAACAAGGTCTCCCTCTGTCATCCAGGGTGAAGTGCAGTTGCATCATCATGGCTCACTGTAGCTTGGAACTCCTGGACTTGAGGGATGTTCCTGCCTCAGTGTCCAGAGTAGCTAGGACTACAGTGTTTTTCTGATTCTTTTTCTGAACGGTTTGAGGTAAATTACATATATCATGTGTCTTTACCTGTAAATACTTTAGCATACACTTTGTAAGAATAACTTCTTTATGGAAGTTATCAACCTCATAAACTTACATTGATAAACTAGTTTTTTCGAATCTACTATCTGTATATTCATATCATACCTTTTATAGTTGGCCTAATAATGTCCTTTGTAGCATTTACCCCTCCAGTACAGAATTTAGTCTAGGGTCAAGTATTACATTAAGTTGTCATGTCTCTTTAATCTGAAAGAGTCCATAAAGTTTCTTTCTTTTTCATGATGTTGATATTTTCAATGTCCCTTTTGTGGGGTTTGTCCGATACTTCTTTGTGATTAGATTCAAGCTGTGCTTTCTAAGTGTAGGTTATATGGTAATGATCTTCTCAAGAAATCGCATCTGAAGGCACACACGGTGTATGTGCTCCTCCTTCGTGTTGTTTATTTTGACCACCTGGTCAAATAATTGTCCAATTTCTCCTTTGCAAAAGTACTGCAATGAATAAGCAGTCTGTGAGATTGCTTTAATTCCATCTAAACATCTTCTTAATCAGCATTTCCACCTAGATTTAATATCTACTGATTTTTATTTTATCCAATCTTTATTTTGATGCTTACAAAATGCGGACTTTTTAACTCTAGCACTTCCTGCACATTTGCTAGTCAGCATTCAGAATTTTACTATAAGCAAGCACTTCTCCCAAGCTTTTTATATGAGCTCATGATTTTCTACATTTTTCCACAAGGATTTATAATTATTACTTTATTATTTTAATATTGAAATTGCCTAAGACTTGGCCAATAGGAGCTCCTCCAAACCGGTTCTTGTGTCCTTGTGACATGCCCCCACTATTTTTTGTGCAGTTCATGGCTTTCTGATATAACAAGATAATCTAGGTTCATCTTGTACCTTCCCTGCCCTAGCCCTGAAATCAGCCAGTTATCTGTATTGCCCTAGTTTCTACTTGGGTTACCTAGTAGGTTACCAAGGTCTAGGCACAGCCTTTTAAAATTTTCCACTATTCATTATGTTGAAAATCATTTGAGTATAGATGCTAAGTCTAATGTACCTACTTGTAGCATTAGTACTCTAATGTTATAGTTTTTAATCATATATTATATGTTATGCTTTTCACAGGTTTTCTAAAGTAATGACATCAGTAAAAACAGACACATTCACCAATGGAGAGAAATAGAGAGCCCAGAAGTAAATCCATACATTTACAATCAACTGATTTTCAACAAAGGCACCAAGAACACGTAAGGGAAAGGACAGTTTCTTCAATAAATGGTTCTAGGAAAATTGGATATCCATATGCAGAAGAATGAATCTAGACTGCTATCTCTCACTATATACAAAAATTAATAATTGATTACTTAAATGCCCTTAATAGGCATTTTTAAAATGGGCCAAAGATATGAACAAGCCCCTCTCCCAAGAAAACATACAAGTGGCTAACAGATATATTTAAAAATGTTCAACATCACTCTGATGATCATCAGTCATCATAGAAATGTAAATCAAAACCATAATGAGATATCACCTCAGTGCAATGAGAGTGAGTAATATAAAAATGATTAAAAATCACAAATTCTGGTGACAATGTGGAGAAAGGGAACTTTTATACACTGTTGATGGGATTGTAAACTAGTATAGATACTGAGGAAAACAGATGGAAGTTCCTCAAAAAAGTAAAAATAGGCGTACCAAAGGATCGATGCAGCAACCCCAGTGCTGGGTATATATCTGCAAAAAATGAAATGAGATATCTGCACACCCATGTTTGTGGCAGCACTATTCACAAAAGCCAAGACAGGGAATCAACATAAATGCCAGTCTACAGATGAATAATAAAAATGTGATATGTATGTATATATAATGAAGTACTCTCTCTCTCTCTCTCTCTCTCTCTATATATATATATATATATGGAATACTATTATATATAGTATATATATACTATTATATATGGAATAAATACATCTATACTATATATATATATATATATATTCCATATATATGGAATACTATTCAGCCATAAAAGAGTATGAAATCCTATCATTGCAGCAATATGGATGAACCTGAAGGACATTATGTTAAGTGAAATAAACCAAGCACAGGACGACAAATACTGCATGATCTCACTCATATGTGGAATCTAAGAAAGTTAATCTCATAGAAGTAGAGATTAGAATAGTGGTTATCAGTGGTTGGGAAAAATAGAGGGGTGGGGGACACCGGGAAGGTTAGTCAATGGATACAAAGTTACCTTCAGACAGGAAAAATAAGTTTTGGTGTTCTATTACACAATAGGGTGACTATAACAATGCAGTGTAAATTTCAAGATAGCTAGAAGAGAAGATTTTGAATGTTGTCAACACAAAGAAATAATAAATGTTTAAAGCGATGGATATGGTAATTACTTCAATTTCATCATTATACTATGGGTATATACATTCAAATATCACATTGCATATAATAAATATATACATTGCATGCAATATACAATTATTATGTGACAATCATAAATAAAATAAAATAAAGTAATTTCATCAGCCTCAATTGACTGCAATGTGATCTGCACACAATCTTGGAAAGAGAGCTACAAGAACCCTTTATGATTAGCTACTCAATCACCTCACTTTACACATGACATGACTGAAGCCCAGACAAGGTGAGACTGTTATTAGACAAATGCAACCTAATCAAATTCCACAGCTTCTGCGCAGCAAAAGAAACAGTCATTAGAGTGAATCGGCAACCAACAGAATGGGAAAAAATTTTTGCAATCTATTCATCTGACAAAAGGCTGATATCCAGAATCTACAAAGAACTAAAACAGATTTACAAGAAAAAAACAAACAAGCCTATTCAAAAGTGGGTAAAAGATACGAACAGACACTTTACAAAAAAAACATACATGAGGCCAACAAACATATGAAAAAATGCTCATCATCACTGGTCATCAGAGAAATGCAAATCAAAACTACATTGAGATACCATCTCACGCCAGTTAGAATGGCAATCATTAAAACATCTGGAGATAACAGATGCTGGAGAGGATGTGGAGAAATAGGAAAATTTTTACACTGCTGATGGGAATGTAAATTAGTTCAACCATTGTGGAAGACAGTGTGGCGATTCCTCAAGAACCTAGAAATAGAAATTCCATTTGACCCAACAATCCCATTACTGGGTATATATCCAAAGGATTATAAATTGTTCTATTATAAAGACACATGCACATGAATGTTCATTGCAGCACTGTTTACAATAGCAAAGACCTGGAACCAACCCAAATGCCCATCTATGATAGACTGGACAGGGAAAATGTGGCAAGTATACACCATGGAATATTATGCAGCCATCAAAAATGATGAGTTCATGTCCTTTGTAGGGACATGGATGAACCTGGAAACCATCAGTCTCAGCAAACTGACACAGGAACAGAAAATCAAACACTGCATGTTCTCACTCATAGGTCGGTGTTGAACAGTGAGAACACATGGACACAGGGAGGGGAGCATCACACACTGGGGTCTGTTGGGGGGAAATAGGGGAGGGACAGCAGGGGGTGGGGAGTTGGGGAGAGATGGCATGGGGAGAAATGCAAGATATAGGTGATGAGGAGGAAGGCAGCAAATCACACTGCCATGTGTATACCCACGCAACAATCTTGCATGTGTTTCACATGTACCCCAAAACCTAAAATGCAATAAAAAATATAAAATCAGCCAATCACAGATATCATCTGATTTCTGTCCAGTACTCTTTTAATTATACTATTCTGCCTGCTACATTTTCCTCCATGGACAAAGTCATTATAACAGAGTTTATTTATTTATTTATTTATTTTTGAGACAGAGTCTCACCCTGTCTCCCAAGCTGGAGTGCAGTGATGCAATTTCAGCTCACTGAAACCTCCACCTCCTGGGTTCAAGCAAGTCTCCTTCCTCAGTGTCCTGAGTAGCTGGGATTACAGGCACCAGCCACCATGCCTGGATAATT